GTTCTATGGACAAAGAATTGAACGACACAGGAAACGTCAAAAGAGTTTATACCTTTAGCCTTTTAATTTTCACACTGTTGTTGTTGTTAGGTGCCGTCGAGTCAGTTCCAACTCATAGCAACTCTGTGTACTTCTAGGAAACAGTAAGTGCTTCAAGTCATCTTCACTTACAGCAAGCAGCTTTGTGTCATTTGCACATCAAAAGTTGTTAACAAGTCTTCCTAGGAACGACTACAGCCTTCAGTATGGATTACACCTTAACATAAAGAAAACAAAAATCCTCACAACTGGGCCAATAAACAACATCATAATAGAGAAAAGATTGAAGTTGTCAAGGGTTTCATTTTACTTGGATCCACAGTCAGCACCCATGGAAATAGCAGTCAAGAACTCAAACAACGTATTGGGCAAATCCGCTTCAAAAGACCTCATCCTTTTGAGCAACCAGGTCTTTCTCATCTCTTTGTCCTCAGGGCTTAGCACAGGGCTTAGTTCAAAATCAATGAAAGGTTATGCGGACTTTCTTTATTTAATAAAAAGTGGGATTCTTGCCTAGCATCTTCAAAGACTAAAAGTAGAAAATAGTTTTACTACTATCATTTATTTGCTGTATATATTCTTTTAAGGGGCCCTGGTGGCACAGTGATTAAGTTATAAAGATTACAGCCTAGGAAACCCTATGGGGCAGTTCTACTCTGTCATATAGGGTCACTATGAGTTGGAAGGCATACAACAAAAACAATATTCATTTGTTATAATGTTATACTGCTGTATATTCTTTTACTTCTGCTTTGTATTTTTATAGTTATTTTTTACCTCTTCAAAGAACTTTCACATCCTTTGTCCCGTTGAATTTGAATCTCACATTCCTGTGAGGGAAGCAAAGCAGTTATTACTATCCCATGTTACAGTTAAGCAAATTAAGACAGACAGATATTAGGTGACTTTCTTTGTCTCTGTCCATGAGTGACAAAGCTGTGACTAGAATCCTCACTATAATTCCAAATGAGCTGGAGTATAAATATCCTTCCTGAAGTACGTATATTTGCTTGTTCAAAAATATTTTCCTTATAAAAATAAGCAGTCTGGAAGGATGTTCCTGTTTGCCTTAAATGTTTTTTGTAGACCCTAACAACAGTGTTCATATTATTCAGACTTAAAAAGCTGTGGTTCTAAATTTTGTTTGATAGCTACTAATGAGACAAATCTTTCTTGCACTTAATATACTTTGATAGATGATTTTTCAAGATCAGTTGAACTTGGCACTATTTTACATGTCTCACTGAGTGGAAAAGACGAAGATGAAGGGACATAATTAATTATAAGACCAGTCTTAAGATTCCTGTGCTTAAAGAGCTGTCCAACCCGAGGGACGTGCTTAAGAGTGCAAGCCTGAGGCTGGGCCCTAATTGCCACTACTTCTTGCCCTAATGAAATTCTGCTTTTATTAACAGAGTGAGGATCAATTTTGGTGCTCTAGATAAAGAATCAGGATGTGGCCTATTTACTTATTTTAATGCAGGGGATGGGAATGGGGAGGGGGCAAGAAGGTGTACCTATTTAGAACAGCAGTTAATGTAATGATTTATCCCATAGAATCATCCCACAATAATCTGTCCCCAAAGAGACATATTAAGGAATAAAATTTGAAAGCTTATTACTATCACTACACAAGCTAATGTGGTCTCAGACCTCTAAGCTTTAAATGGCTTATGTGAAAATATATCAGCAACACAGAGCCAAATGCAGAAAACAGATGCCTCTTACTGATTGTACTTAAAACTCCAAGGCAAGGTCAGCCACAGGATGAACTATTAGTTAGCTAAAGTTTGTGTCTGATAGCCTCCAACTTCTTTTATGAGCCTCCTTCTCAGCTTTCATGGTGTCACTTTCTTATTTTATCCTGCTCTAATTGCCCAGAGCCCCTGCATAGACCTGCCTGCTTTGGCAGTGCTCTCTGCTCTGAATCTCACAGCTGCCACAGTCAGTGAAACCTCCTCTCATTTAGGCTGTCAGGTTGAAATCATCATTCTTGTCAGCTGTCATCACGTCAGCCCCCAAGTCATGGCGACCCCTTGCACAATGGAAACGAAACCCTTCTTGGTCCTGCTGCATTCCCACGATCAGTTGCGGATCAGACCATTGTGATCCACAGGGTTTTCACTGGCTGATTTGCAGTAGATTGCCAAGCCTTTCTTCCTAGTTCTTCTTAGTCTGGAGGCTTCCCTGAAACCTGTTCAACATCATAGCAACACGAAAGCCTCCACTGACAGATGGGTGGTGGCTGTGCATGAGGTTCACTGGCTGGGAATTGAGTCTAGTTCTGTCGTATGGAAGGTGAGGATTCTACCAGTGTACTAACAATGCCTCGTCAGGTTGAAAAGGACCCCAAAATATTTTATACTCAGGTATACTAAGGAACTAATAGTTGAGATGGTTCAATGTAGTCTTCCTTATTCCTTTCTTTTAGTTTGTTTTTATAGGGAATAAGTACCTTAACCTGAAAAAAACCAAACTTGTTGCTGTTGAGTTGATTCTGACTCATAACGACCACATAGGACGGAAGAGAGCTGCCCCATGAGTTTTCCAAGGAGCAGCTGGTGGATTCAAACTGCCGACCTTTTGGTTAGCAGCTGAGCTCTTAACCACTGCACCACCAGGGCTCCAAAAGTACCTTAAGTACCTTAATGCAAAGCAAAAAAAGTATATAATGATGGTGAATTAATCAAAATAGTTTAGGTTATGCTTTGAGAACTCGTTTTTTAAAAAAAAAACCATTGCCATTGAGTCGATTCCGACTCTTAGCGACCCTTAAGGACAGAGTAGAACTGCCCCATAGGGTTCCCAGGGAGCGCCTGGTGGATTCGAACTGCTGACCTTTTGGTTAGCAGCATAGCTCTTAACTACTGTGGCACCAGGGTTTCAGTAACCCACAGATCTGAGATTTACGCTCACAAAAGTTTATTTCTCATTCCAACTTGGATCATCAGGGTTCTCTGATCCCTGTAGTCACTTAGGGACGCACTATTTCAAACACTGAGGAGCAGCCACTATTTCAAACATGGGTGCTTACTGTGCCAAAGGAAAAAAAAACTCTGGAGGAACTTGCACCAGCAATAAGTGCTTTGGCCTGGATGTGACAGATACATTTTGAAAGACCCTGGAAAGACAAGCAGTATTGACTGTCATCACATCCTTTTCTCTTTTGTCCTCAAAAACTAACACAGTATTGGGCACAACAAAGACAGTAAATGTTTACTGAAATAAAGTGATTTCCAGCAACTCTGGTTTCTTCTGGGGCCTTGGCTGTCTTAGACAGAAGTAACAGAACCCATCAAGTAACACCTAAAGCCTGAAGGCCTCTAGACTTAGTCTAGGGTTCCTGGGATACTAGACATAAGAGGAGTTCACAGCTCTTTCGACCTGTCTGACAAGATTAGAGTTCTAGGATAGATCATGAACAGCTGGTCATTTTCACGAACATTATCTTCCCTCTGATGATCCAAACCCAAAAACCCAAACCCATTGCCGTTGAGTCGATTCCAACTCATAGTGACCCTATGGGGCAGAGTAGAACTGCCCCTATAGGGATTCCAAGGCTGTAAATCTTTACAAAAGAATATTATCACATCTTTTTCTATGGAGTGGCTGGTGGGTTCAAACTGCTGACGAGCACCTAACCACTGTGCCACCAGGGCTCCTTCTGATGATTCAAGGGAATAGCTATTGCTGTTGCTTGGCATATGGTAGTGTGCAATAAACATTTGTTGGCTGACTCATTTGTGGACTCAATATGATCAGTTTTTGGATTCTTCTATCAGTATGCTCGGCTGCTAACCAAAAGGTTGGCAGTTTGAACCCATCAGCTGCTCCATGAGAGAAAGATGTAGTAGTCTGCTTCCTTAAAGATTTACAGCCTTAGAAACCATATGGGGCAGTTCTGCTCTGTCCTACAGGGTGACTATGAGTCAGAATCAACTCAGTGGCAATGGGTTTATCAGTATCATACAGATGAAGACTGTAAAGTTTTGACAAAGAATCACCTTTTTGCATGATGGTATAAACCAAACCCATTGCTGTCGAGTCAATTCATACTCATGGCAGCCCCATGTAAAACTGTTCCATAGGGTTTTCTTGGCTGTAATCTTCATGAAAGTAGATCACCAGGCCTTCTTCTGTGGGACCACTGAGTAGGTTTGAACCACCAGCCTTTAGATTAGCAACCGAGTGTAAACCGTTTGTGTCACCCAGGGACTTTGTGTGATGGAATAGTGATGTTTTAGTAAATGTGCATTTCAATTCATACGAATTCAACCAAAAAAGAGAGAGAGAAAAAAATAGCAATGTATATAGTCTAAGCAGCCTGCTTGCCATTCCATTCACTAAGCTTATACTTCTAAGATGGTATAAGATAAAAAAAACAACAACAAAAAATCTCAATCTAATATAGTCTCAGTTGAACATGGTCTCTCAGTGAGAACAACTCATCTTATTGCATATACTTCTAATATTCACATAAATGGCAAGGGATTTTTATACAGTTTGCGTTAAATGCATGTCAGTTACTTCACCTGATGTTCAGTCAAAGAACCAGTGATCTGTTCAGATGCTGGTGGAAAAACTGGCCATGTCAGACTGACTGAAAGATCATGTATTTGTTTCCAACATGGTATAATTTTGACTATGTGTGCTTTTTGCATACTACCAGCTTTGTAACCTAATGTGCCGTACAGAATGAGACTCTACTGCATTTTGCTTTTCTTTAGAAAAGTAGATGTCATTTTCAGTAGAGACCACTTTATTTTCTGTAGTCTTTGTATTTTATTTTGAAGAAGATACTTTTCTGTCTGCTGTTTCCATGTGTATGTCCAGAGTTATTTTGAAGCCTCTATAAACATGTTTTATACCCTTCAGAAGACAAAACATAACCGTATGTGGTTTGTATGTTGCTTTTGTGTGTCACTAGGAGGTTAACGTTGGTTCTCTATCGTTTTCTTCAGAGTGCCTACCGCATGTTTACAAACAACACGTGTTTGAAGCACATGATCACCAAAGTCCGGCGGGACACCCACCACTTTGAACGTTACCAGCATAACCGGGACCTTGTGGGATTCCTCAACATGTTTGCGAACAAACAGCTGGAGCTGCCGAGGGGCTGGGAAATGAAACATGATCATCAGGGCAAGGTACCTCGGCGGAGTTGCTGTAGGGAGCTGCTGATTGACTGTGGGCTACCTATGGCTTTGGCCCTTGGGTCTACCCTTCAAGTGAGGGCTGAAGGCCCTGTGTTGGGTGAAACATTCCATTTTCTGGTTCAAATGATACCTGAACAAACAGATTTTCTATTCCAAAGTAGTGCACAGAGTGGAGAGGTGTGAGGGGGCTTGCTTAGTGAAACATTTTCTTTTCTCTTGATACTCTTCTACCTGTAATCATTCACCATTTTCTGCTGATTAGAGAAAAGGTTTCTTAGGCAGCGACACTTCCTTCTCCCCAGTTGTGCAACTACTGTTATAGAAATTTGAATAAAAAGTTGTGGTATTGTTTGGAGAAGATGGCTAGGAGATCAGTAAGTAACTTCACAAAGTGTGTCTTTTGAACACTGTCCTGGTCTGGGCCTCAGTCTTGTTGGTTCAGAAATCTGATTTTGTTAGCATATTAAATAAGACTCACAGATTGATTAATTTATGATGAGAAACATGTAGCTGTTTTACTGACAGAGTAATCACATCTGTACTTCTTTTGTAGATGGCTCAACCAGAAAGCCTGGTTATAATCAGGAGGTTGTTATATGAGCAAGAAATTAGAACACGGAAACTTAGTTATTTTTATAAGGTTTTCCTCAGCTAAAGTTTTATTTTTGTTTAACTCTTATTTAGAACCTACTATGAGCTCCAGACAGTCTATTCCTGAGATGATCCAGGGATCATAGTAGGTACTAACGCATTAACAAAAAAAGACATCATACGTGAAGAAAGCAAAAGGTCGTTAAAACGACAGGAAGGAAAGAAATGACTACAGTGGATGTCAGAAGAGGCTCTGAAACTTGCTCCTGAACGTAGAGCAACTAAAGGGAATGGAACAAATGATGCAGTAAAAGAGCTGAACAGAAGATTTCAAAGGGTGGCTCGAGAAGATAAAGTATTATAATGAAATGTGCAAAGACCTAGAGTTAGAAAACTTAAAGGGAAGAGAACATGCTTGGCATTTCTCAAGCTGAAAGAACTGAAGAAAAAATTCAAGCTTCAAGTTGCAGTATTGAAGGATTCTATGGGCAAAATATCAAATGACACAGGAAGCATCAAAAGAAGATGGAAGCAATACACAGAGTCACTGTACTAAAAAGAATTGGTCGATATTCAGCCATTTCAGGAGATAGCATATGATCAAGAACCAATGATGTTGAAGGAAGAAGTCCAAACTGCACTGAAGGCATTGGTGAAATATTTTTATTAGACTCCAGGAATTGATGGAATAGCAGTTGAGATGTTGCAGCAAACCGACGCAGCACTGGAGGTGCTTACTCATCTATGACAAGAAATTTGGAAGACAGCTATCTGACCCAACCGACTGGAAGAGATACACATTTGTGCTCACTCCAAAGAAAGGTGATCCAACAGAATGAATGCAGAAATTATTGAACAATGTCATTAATATCACTTGCAAATAAAATTTTGCTGAAGATAATTCAAAAATGGTTGTATCAGTACATTGACAGAGAACTGCCAGAAATTCAAGCCAGATTCAGAAGAGGATGCAGAATGAGGGATATCATTGCTGATGTCAGATGGATCCTGGCTGAAAGCAGAGAATACCAGAAAGATTTTTCCCTGTGTTTTATTGACTGTGCAGAGGCATTCAGCTGTGTGGATCATAAAGAATTATGAATAACATTGTGGAGAATGGGAATTCCAGAACACTTAATTGTGCTCATGAGGATCCTATACATAGACCAAGAGGCAGTCATTTGAACAAAACAAGGGGATACTGCATGGTTTAAAATCAGGAAAAGTGTGAGTCAGGGTTGTATCCTTTCACCATACTTATTCAGTCTGTATGTTGAGCAAATAATCTGAGAAGCTAGACTATATGAAGAAGAACAGGGCATCAGGATTGGAGAAAGACTCATTTACAATCTGCGATATGCAGGTAACACAACCTTGCTTGCTGAAAGTGAAGAGAATTTGAAGCACTTACGATGAAGATCAAAGACTACAGCCTTCAATATGGATTACACTTCAACCTAAAGAAAACGAAAATCCTCACAACTGGACCAATAAGCAAAATTATGATAAATGGACAAAATATTGAAGTCATCAAGGATTTCATTTTACTTGGATCCACAATCAACCCATGGAAGCAGCAGTCAAGAAATCAAAGAACGTATTGCATTGGGCAAATCTGCTGCAAAAGACCTCTTTAAAGTGTTCAAAAGAAAAGATGTCACTTTGAAGACTAAGGTGTGCCTGACCCAAGCCATGGTATTTTCAGTCGCCTCATATGCGTGCAAAAGCTGGACAATGAATAAGGAAAACCAAAGAATTGATGCCTTTGAATTATGGTGTTGGCAAAGAATATTGACTATACCATGGACTGCCAGAAGAACAAACAAATCTGTCTTAGAAGAAGTATAGTCAGAATGTTCCTTTGAAGCGAGGATGGCAAGACTTCATCTCGCATACTTTGGACATGTTATCAGGAGGGACCAGTTCCTTGAGAAGGACACCATGCTTGGTAAAGTAAAGGGTCAGCGAAAGAAAGAAAAACCCTTGAGGAGATGGATTGACACACTGGCTACAACAGTGAGCTCAAGCATAGCAATGATTATGTGGATGACACAGGATCGGGCAGTGTTTCGTTCTGTTGTAAATAGGGTCACTATGAGTTGGAATCAACTCATCGGCACCTAACAACAACATAAGCCCTGGTGATGCAGTGGTTAAGCACTCAACAGCTAACCGAAAGGTCCGCAGTTTGATCCCACCAGCCTGTGTGGAAGAAAGATGTGGCAGTATGCTTCTGTAAAGACTTACAGCCTTGGAAAGCCTGTGAGGTAGTTCTACTTTGTCCTATACAGTCGCTATGAGTCAGAATTGACTTGATGGCAACAAGTTTTTTTTTAATGAGCCAGGAACTTTTTAAGCTCTTCATAGGTGTAAGCTCCTCACAACCCGGCAAAGCAGTACTATTATTATCTCCCTTTTCAAGTAAGGAACCCAGGTCCAGAATGGTAAATTAACTTTTCCAATGTCACACAGGTAGGAGTACTGAGGTGTAGTTCTAACCCAGGCAGTCTGGGTCCAGAGTCCATGCTCTTAACCACAATATCCTCTCCCAAGTACACAGTAACAAACCTCAGTTTTCCCGTCTGTGATGACATGCAATACTTGACTTAAAGGTGAGGAGGATAAAATGATATAATTATTTAAAGTCTAAACAGAAGGACGTAAATGGGTCAAATGGGACATACTGGTGTTACTACTCCTGGGTATAAAAGAGGAGTACATAGCAAGAATTTGGCCATATTCTCAACTCTGACAAGATCTTACCTGGTGTCAGGAGGAGCTGTGTGCTCTTTGGAGAACCACAGGTTCAGGGAAATCTCAAGTTGAGATGATGCTGCATAGGTTTCTACTCTATGTAGATTTTAGCTTGTTGGTCACTATGAGTGAGAACCAACTCTGCGGCACCTAACAACAAGAAGTCATTTTGTATCCTTATCTAAAAGAAATCAGGCACTTCTAGTGTGCATGTAGGGGGTGGGAATAGTCTCTTCCTGCCCATTCTAACTTGCCTTTGCCTGCCACACTTCAGCAGAGAGGTTCTGATTAACAACCCCTAGACCTTGAGAGAAGTTTAAATTACATTTACAGTACTACAGACGTGCGTCATGTAATGTCCGTTCAGGCAACATCAGACCACGTGTACATCCGTGGTCCCAACCCCTGTAAAGCCCATTATATTAAAAATTTGACATACATACAATTGTTCAAAATAACAAATGGGCTCTGCTTTGCGACATGCATCAAAACATTATTATTACTGTATTATGTTAAAAATGTTTTAGAGTATCTGGAAGTGTTTAATGTTTTTTATGCACAGAAGGGTACACCATATACTGTATACTAAGACAAACATTTGATTAAATGACATTAGATACGAGTTGTATCTAACTGTTCCAATTTACATACAAATTCAATTTAAAGACAGATTTAGGAATGGAACTTCTTCGTAATCCAGGGACTGCCTGTATGTAATATGGTGTTCACACAATGTCCAAATCACATAACATCCTATTTCACAGAACGTATCATGAACGTTAAGTGATGCATGACTATATTTAAGAAGAGCTGTAATGTATTCTTAAGAACAAGTTCTGCCTCATAGCTTTTATAAAATTTTTGATGCTTAAACGGGTAAACATTATCTGGATTATGTGGGTAATTTGACTATCCAAAGTATCTTTTTCCCTGAGGGTTTTTGACTAATTTGGGGGTTGCAATTTAAACTTCATTGAAGTTTTACATATTATAAAGAACTCTGGGCATGGGCTGGTTGATAGCTGAGCCCACATCGGCTGCTGACTTTGCATTAGAATGCTATTTGGCGTGAAAGACTTAGAAAGACCTCCTGCCTTTGGACAAGATGGGTTATCAGACAGGCCTGAAAGCTTATCACTTTAGTCTGATCTCGCTCCTTCTTGCATGAAGACTTTAATAAGATTTTTAGCTAAGCTAGGCACCTTAACTAAAACAGGTTTATCTACCTGTGATCTCCCACATCCTTCCTTCTGAAGTGACTGGCTTCCGATGAACGAAAACAACTTAAAAGAACGTTTGAGAAAGGCACATGTTGTGCGTGGATTTGGCTGCATTGCTTTTGACGGCACGTTAGGAGTCCTAGTTCCCATTTTCCAAGCAGTTAATAGGTTTTCTAGTCCTTTTATTTATTTATTTGTTTGTGTGTTTGTTTTGTTTGTTTATCTATCTATTTATTTTATGAGTTGCTTTGCCTCCAGAATTTTAAAGGGAGTAAATATTTTTCTCTCTTTAATATAACATCAAAAGCTATTAAACACTACAAAATCATTTTCCCATATTTTCCAGTTCTAGACTGATTTCTAGAATTGACATGGAATAGTATGTACAAGTCTCCATCTATATGAAAAGAAATTATTCTTAAGAGG